ACAGCCTTGCTCTCGCATCACTGCTGTGGTGCCAACCTACCCCGTGGGCTGGGGAGAGATCCGGGTTCGTTGGTGTTCCCCCGTACTACACATACACTAGTGAGAGGATGAGATAGACTGAGTACTAGCAAGAAAAATGAGATTGATGAGAGAAGAACATAGCTTAAAAAAAAAAAAAAAAAAAAAAAAAAAAAAAAAAAAAAAAAAAAAAAAAAAAAAAAAAGCCTGCACCCTCTCTACGTGGGCTCCACAGGGCCCCACCAGAAGTGTTGAATTTTCTCAACTTGTTCGTGGAGATGTGCAGAAATGGCGCTATATTTCCTCAACACCACATCTCCACAAACAAGTCCAGATATGGACATCCAGGGAACTCTACCCTGCTGATGGGACCTGGCCCTTGTAGGTGCTACTCTGTCCACAGGTCCTGGTAGGTACTAGGTAGGCCGACAAAGGTCCCGGTAGGTCGCTGTTTGGCACCCGCTTTTTCTGCTGTTTTTGCCTCTAACAACCTACAGCCCTGGTAGGGCTGCCATGTCCAGTCTGTTTTGCCTTTTTGAACTCCTCAGATTTGAAGTTGCAAGGCAGTGCTTTTTTTTTTTTTTTTTCCGGAAAGCTTGAACTTATATTGCAAAAATCGTTGGAACGAGACCGGGGACCTCACAATTCAACCCAGGGTTATCCTGGCAGCCTCAGCCAGTTTCGCTTACGAACCAAGCTGGACTATTAAACCAATTGTCAGGATATGCTGGAAACCGGGTCCAGCGTCCCCTCCTACTATGCTTTCCAAAAATGTAAGCTTTGACACACACTGTAAAAAAGATGAGCTTAACTGATAAAGGCAGTGGTTTTTCCTGCCTTAGGCTATTTCAAACTTCAAGTGTGACTTCGGATCAGTTTCCTCTCAAAAACATTATGGGGGTTACCCTCGAATGACCCCCACCCTCCTATAAAAACAAAACACCCCCCCCCAGCCAAAAAAAAAAAAAAAAAAACAATTCCGCTCTCCGTGAACTCCATGAACTACCAGCGGTCACGATTTCCGCCCCTTGTTCACAGACCATGTGAACGGTGAACGGGGTACGGCACTGCTCCACTGCTCTCAAGATGGCATTGCACAACAGCAATGATCAATTTCAATTGACATCTGTCAAAGTTGGGAGGAGAGGGTTTGGCATGAAAGCTACACCACTGCTCTTCGAACAGACTGTCTATTCTCAGTGCGTGACAGAGAAAACACACTACTCGTCCCAGCTCCACGTGCAGTCTCAAAGTATAAAGGGGGTATTATAGGCTTCTCCTCCGGAGGATTATTCCACCAGTGCGCTGCCGCCGCTGAGTGTTTTTTTGAGTTTTTCAACCCCATGATGGCCATGATGGCATCGGGGGACAAGATTCCTCCATGTATACTAATACGTTTCTAGTAACTTTGAAATTCTAGCATCAGTACTGCTGCAATCTTAAGAAGGGCTCCTTTGAATTTGCTTGTAAAATACATTAATTTAAAAACAAGTTAAAAAAAATCATGTCTACTATTTCATCAATCTATGTTTTATTTGAGGGCTGGTGGTCGTGCCAAACAACTCCCAAATTCACCGAATTTTGGGAATGGAGCCTTGCGAGTGTTGCCACACCCGCCCACAATTTTATTTTGAGACAACTGCGCCTGTCATCGCTGCACAGTTTGGAATTTGCAGGAAGGAATAACAGTCCACTGCAAGCTTGGCCGAAGACAGACTGAGTTCAAAACTGCAAGAAAAACAGTAAACTGCGCGTTCGAAGGTCCACCGGTTCGATAATTGGCAAAAACGGGAGGTGGCGGTCGTGCTTTTTGTTGTTGTTTTTTTTGTTTTGTTTTTTGTTTTTTTTGCACCTTGGACTTTTTTTTTTTCCCCTTCTTTTCGCGCCTGCCACGGCCGAGCTGTGTAGGCCAAGTCTCTCCAAGGAAGCTACCGTCTTCCACCGAACACAGCGCACGCTCATCTCGGCTGTACCGGACCGGAAATATAGCTTGTATATGCTCAATTTCAGGGTGCGTTATGTTCGGGGGAAGACGGTAGTGTCCCAGGCGGCATTTTCAGCTGGTGTGGGAGTGGTCCGATTTCAGTTGTAGTGACTTTTTTTTTTTTTTTTTTTTTGCTTAATATCCGCCGATGATATTCGTAAATAGGACAGCCTGAGGGATAAATCATCAGGTAACTTCTCAAAGTTCAGAAAGTCTCTGGGTTATCAGCAAAAAAAGGGGACCTCTTCACCCTAAGGCGCCTAAAATGAGTTAGCATCTAGTCCCACTACCACTGTACCCAGACACGTACCAACGACTTCTGAGGATCAATAAGTTATGCAGTTAGCTTGACAACTGAAGACTAGCCCCTAGATAATGAACAACATAACCTGAGAAAGCCTATCCTTTTGGCAACTGCCTTTGACTCTATCAATAACACTTTCATGGAGGTCTGGGACCCCTCAGCGAAGGTTCAATGATCTCTCGGTTCAATGGTGATCAATGACTCAATGATGACTCAATGCTCTCTCTCTCTCTCTCTCTCTCTCTCTCTCTCTCTCTCTCACACACACACACACACACACACACACACACACACACACACACACACAGCGTTCTCTCTCTGCACCAGGGAATTCTCCAATCCCGTCTCCTACCCTGCCTCCTACCCTGCCCGTTACAAGCTTTTTCAACACTGTTGTTTTCACCCTCCTGCTCACTGCCTTTCATGTCCTTGGAATCTTTGAAATCCATTCTCCTGGCGTCACTTATCTTCTTATCCCAATGGACGACTGTACCGCCCAGACCTGCGTTCTCATCTTCCCTTTCTTCCCCTCCAGTCTTCTGATTCCAACGATTCAGATCAGCGTTATCCTCATTCTCATCATCATCATCACCATGATCACTATCACCATTTTGAGGTGATTGCCCCGATTTCAATGATTCATTATCACCATCATTGTCGGTATCCCCAGTCTTCTGATTCCAGTGATTCACATCACCGTTATTGTCCTCCTCATCACTACTGTCATCATCATCATCATTACAGTCATTATCACCCCCTGAACTGTGAATAACATCCCATCTATTCCTCAGATCGACATCATTCGCTCTCAATACCTCATCATCACCATTCTGAGGCCTATGGCACTGCCCTAACACACAGACCCATCTTAGTTCCCACCCACAGTTCAAGCACAGCACGTTCAACTCCATCAGAGTTCCGCCGCCGTTTCTTCAGAGTATCCTTAATCTGCAGAATAGTTCCGGATGACTGTTTCTCGTTGTCGCTGACTCTCGCTTTCGTTCTTGAAGCCGCCACTTCTAGGTTCAATGGAGGAGGCTCCCAGCCTCGGTCTTGAAAGTGAGTAGATGAGGGGGGCGGGGGTGATTAAGCCCTTCAGGGGGCAACTTCTGAAAGTAACCGGCCAGGAAGGGCAACTCCTGAAAGTACCGGGCCAAGAAGACACAAGTGGTTAACGGGGATCCCCACTTTTCGGCCCTGGGTAACGATGAATGATCCTGAAATTAGGGTTTCGGGGTCAAATTTTGTGTTTTTTTGGAATTTTGTTTTAGGACAAGCTTGCTGTGTGTCAAAAATTGTTGTCATTTGGGTTATTAGAATTTGTGCTGTGTGAGGGGGTTGTGGTAAGCCTGACAGAAAAGAAAACGGCTGGGAGAGAAATGGGAGGGTGTGAAAGGTAAAAAAGGAAAAAAGGACCAGGGTTGGGGATGGCCCCACCTTGCATAACCACCTATTCAACACTTAGGTTTTCCACACAGTGATTTTTGCGGAAGGCTCGGAGTTGCACCCCTCTGGACATAGCCCGAGGGGGCTACTGAATGGGAGAACTCGGTGTGAGAGAGGAAAGATTCATCTAGATCGGAAAGGCTCCAAACAAGGGCGTGATAATAAAACATGAAATGAAAGACGAATCTAGGTGTATCAATCTTAATCTACCCTAGTAATCGAGGAGATCAACCACTCAAAAGTTTCCAGAAATGGAAAAGGACAAAAGCCGACCAGATAGCATTCGGAAGTTTAAAGGAAAAGATGGCAGCAACACACTCGGGGGAATACACCACAACCGCTGTCTACCCTATCCTCAAAAGGGCAAGGTCTCATGTTAGCTGTCCTACAGAAAAGGTAAGTACGGAGAAGGTCAGTACCTTTGGTTAGTATAGAAGCTCCTGTAATGGCACAACCCTAACACAAGAGATGCCAGGTGTCTCCAAACGGTGAAAGGAGAACTCACCGTACTGTCTGCTATGAAGGCCGTTTATCCTGTTCCCATCATCAGAACACGAACCCCTTGAGCCGCAGAGCAGCTCTCGGATCTTCGTTCTTAAGTACAGTGTCGAAAAGGATTCTCACATACCAAATCCAGCCCTTCGTACTCCAGCCAACAGGATCCAAGCCCAGATTCCTGTTCACTTTCTCGTTCGGATCCACGCTCCTCTCCCCGTAGATCCAGATAGACCTCCCGCGCTAGTATAACCCTCTTAGACTACTACTCCACATATTCCATGGGAAGGACGCTGTAGATCAGTGTTCTTCGGTTCTTGCATATTCAGGTGTGTTCATGTAGACTCTATCTGCCGGCTCCCAAAACCCACCCTCATTCCCAAACCAAGGACAAGCCCGTCTTGCTCATGCTCTACTGTCTTCTACAGTCCACAGCTGAGTAAGCCGCCTCCCCCATGCTACGCGCGCCACGATATGGTGGGTAAGCCCCGCGTTTGAAAAAAACTAACTTCTTAGCACACGCGTCATAGGTCTTGAGCGCTACGGCGCCGCCACCTACTTCGTCCTCCTTTTTCACGTTTTTTCATTGTAGCGATTTTGGCGGCGCTACAAAACCTTTCTGACAGTTTTTCCTTTTCTTCTCTTTATCTTGTTGTTGAAGTTCGTTTTTTTTTTTTCCCTTTAGAATTCCATTTCAAAACATCATTTCGAACGAGGCCGGGGACCTCACAATTCAGCCGGTTTCTCTTCTTAGACTCAAGAACACCTAAACTAAGGGCGTCGTTCGACACTCCTCGGGGCATCCTCGGGCTCCGAGGATGAATCCTCGGAAAAGTTTAGGGTTTTTGTCGTCTTTGTTCCACTCATCC